CGCTAAGAAATGAAAACTTAATTATTTCGAAGCCCAGTCGATAGCATGTTGGAAAGTATTATTTTAAATTCCGACCTAATCTATCTTAGACGCATAAAAACTAAATAATTTTAAACTACACTATTTATTAGGGGAACTGATGAGACGCGAATGCCTTCAGGATGAGAAACAAATACTAGGATCGTCAGCAGGCTGGCCATTAGGTCATCCAGACTGGTTAAAGCAACTGGAAAAGATGCCAGCTGCATAGCTGAAGAACAGTAATAAACAGCGGGGCGCACCTGGGCAGCCGGTGCGATCATGCGTTTTGTGCAATTATGTTCACCGAGAACTTGCCTGCTAATGATTTTCATTGCCCCGCCGAAACCTTCACGGGGCCGTAAGCGATACTCCGGCACGCGAGAAGCTGAATTTAAAATTGCAAGGTTGTAGGTGGACAGAAGACATTGCCATAAAATTTAACTTCTGGCTTCCATGGTCCCCGAGATAATAATTTACTCGCCGAAAGTTTCACAGGTCCGTATATGTTACCTGCGGGCACGGAAAGGTTGAATTTAATTTTTCTAAGTTACGAGAGAACAAGGAAAATAAAATCTCAGCTTCCTGGATCCTGTGGTTCTCAAGAAAATAATTTATCCGCCAAAACTTTCACGGGGCCGTAGTTGATGCCCGAAAGCGCGGGGACACTGAATTTGAATGGGCGAGGCCTAGCATGGACAGGGGGTTATTGTACTAAAATTTCAGCTTCTTATATTCAATGGCCCCCGAGATAACTTACCCGGGAAAATTTTTACGAGGCCGTTCGTGTTACCCACGGGCAGCAGAAGGCTAAACTTATATTTTCTGGATCGTGTGTGGGCAAGGGACACGCTCACAAAATTTCAGCCTTCTAGCTTCCGTGGTTCCTGTGATAATAATTCCACCCGCCCAAACTTTTACGAGGCCGTACGTGTTACCCGCGGGTACAGGAAGGCTGAATTTAAATTTGGTGGATCACATGTGGGTGGGGAACGCCCCCCTAAATTCTCAACTTCCTAGCTTTTGTGGTTCCCGAGTTGAAAGTTGCGAACAAGTTGTTGCGGGGACACACACACACACACACACACACACACACACACAACCCCGTAACAATATGCGTTTTGGTACTGCTGTTACATAGCACAAAACGCATAATAAGGCCGTGTGTAAGAAGCTTTGTAAAAGTGTTTCCATCAGCTGCTGCTGGAAAATCACAGTGATGAAGTAACATGTTTTAAAGTAGGGGAAGTCAAATGTGTAAAAAAAAATGCGGAAAACTGAGACATCAAAACAAAATCGTTATTCGGGAAACTTAGTTAAAGGATGGAGAAAAAACGATACAAAAGAGGATCAAAACAGATGTAGTTCTCCGTCAAATGTAAAGAAGTCTGATTTTTTGTTAAAAAGTGAAAAAAAGGCCAATTTTTGAAGAAATGGGGGGCAAATTCAGGAAGCATTTTGGCAACGGTAGCATGTTCTAAGCTGCAGTTTCGAAATATTTGTAAAGCTATGTATGTGTATGCTAACGACATGCTCCATATAGTCCGGTTTGTTTATAAACTTGAAATGAATGGTACGTACCCGACAGCCGTAATAGGCACATTGAGTTCAGCTTGCGCCTCAGTCAACAGCACCTGCAATCGTGCAAACAATTTTCGATGTAAACGTTCGACCTCTAGCGACACCGTGGCTTCTCCCAGATTACACATACAAGCCTAATTTTCGAATTACAACGGCCACAGCTAACAACCTATGAGTGGCCGAGGTATGCGAAAGTAGCCGAGGCCACGATGGCTTCCTTTTATGGGCAAAAAACAGAAGCAAAACTTCTTGACTGGCCAGCACACAATTTTCTACGCATATATAACGAATTAACTACAAATCGATTACGAGCTAAAGTAACAGACACAAATTTATGCTTCCTATATAAATGCACATCCTGTTCTTATATTCAGTTTGTCAAACGCTATTAACTGCACAAATTAAAACATATAAGATTTTCTTCCTAAAGTAAAAATAACACTTTGAACGGGATTAAATCGCTGACTTCCTGGTACTGAGTAGAATAACAACACAACACTTATGTTTTTCACGAAAATTTTTATAAATTACTGATTAACAAGAACGAAAGAAATGTGAAGCGCAAAAATTACCTTATATTTTGCGAGCAGCTGATTCAGAGCTTCGTATTTCTTTGTGTATAATGCAATCTCAGAATCCACGTCACTTGCATTGCCTAGCTTAGGATTATCCCTATAAAACACTGTTAATCAACGAACGAAGTCTCAAAAGTTACAGCTTAAAAATAATCCATATCATGGATAAAATTTATGGGAATCTGGAGGTCAAAAGGTGTCCAAATTGCTTATGATCAGCGAATTTCGTGCAAATGATCGAAAATGGCTATTCCCATGAGATGGCAACCACAGAGGAATATCCAAAGAACCAGAACTGTAAGAAAGTAATCCAGAAAAAGAACAAAGTTGGTAGCATAACCGTGCTCTGCATGTATCGATAACTCAGCAACATCCACAAGGTCATGTAGGCGAGAAAAACTGGAACAAGCTCCACAGGAAAAGAGAAAAAAGAAAATGGATTAGGCACGAACTTATAAACTTGCAGCATTTTCGCGGCACCTTCACGACTCTGCTGATTCTTCGCTATTTCTTTTTCAATGTTTTCAATTTCATGGCGCAATCTTCGGCATCTTTGCTGCGGCGGATACGAGCGGAAATCAATGGTACCATCCTGAATTTGCTAACGACAATTCAGGGAATGCAATGCACGCAGTTCAGAAGCCAGTCCGGAAATAAATAGCAACGCACACCAGACTAGCCAGTGCGATCATGCGTTTTGTGCAATTCAGCCCATCGA